TTTTTTTTTTGAAAGCAAAGGAAGAACAAAAAAAGACAAGCAATAAGATGAAAAAGAAAAGCAAACTGAAACCAATGCTTGTAGTTTGTTGGTTTGACAGTTACCGAAAATAAATCTGCCTACTCGACAACAACAACAATTAGCAACATCAGTACCAGTAGCATCCAACACTAACAGCAACACTTCTACTTTGTATTTTGAAGCATCGAAATTTGATCTAATAACTTCAGTTTGTAAACAATGACAACACAATTCCCCTCATCTATCACAGCCGTTTCCTAGACTTCCTCTCCTTTCGCCCTGTTTGCGCCGGTTCTAACTTCCTCTATTTATTTAACTGCAAATATCCCGTTATTGTAGTCAACTGGTGGTGTTAATGAACACTTTTTCTTTCGGCATACAATCTTCTGTATTAATGTACCGTCACCAATTCTGTAAAAATTATTGCTCGCTTCCTAGCCTATGACAATTGTTGCTGAAATTTCGTGCTTTTGTTTTTACCTTTATACTCATCTTTAGTACTTTCAGCACTATTGAATTTACAGCCACCTTCCAGTAATTTGTCACTAAAAGTCGTCCTGTGAACAGTCTTGTCGATATATCACCCACCCGTTGACGCTGTACGTGTGCACAAATTACAAGTCTATTAGCCGTTTACACTCTCCAAAACATCACTTCAAAATAAAAAACATTCTCAAGTTGCTCAAAATACTCAGTTAAAAAGTTAAAATGCTATATTTCATCCCGACAGACATACCTCAGCATTTTGTCTAACCTTCACCTGCACCTAAACGAAAAAGAACCAGCAATGTTACCCTGAAACTGCTGCAGTACTGTAACTGTCGACAACTGCTTAACGTTGACAGCATATTTTGGAAATTCAATGAATACTTTTTTGCTGTCCAGTTAAACTAACTAACTATAAGATGTGTTCCGTAAGCGCTACTTCAAGGACCAAATCACGATTTATTTATTCAAGGAGTCATCCGAAATTGCGTAGGCCACTAAAGGGTATCCGTCTAGAGAACAATGGCTCAGTGCGACACCGCTGACGCCAGATATAACAACTCAAAATCAAGAAGGGCAGATAAAACATAAACGCCAACCTGCTGCATTAACTATACTTTTATTATTGTAGCTCTTACTTTTCTGCATACCAGAGTGTCGCCTTTTCGTTCAATTAATTTCCTCTCCCCTCAAATCTGTCCTGAAACCTTTGAGCCTAGTGTAAGAGCATTAAGAGCAGGTTGCCGTTTTACAAGGCTATGTACAGCATCTAAAACGATTCAGGCACGCAAACAAAAACTGCAAATTCAATGAGTAAAAATCGAAAATTAGGTGAAAAAACTAAACTGAGCAAATGACGCAGCTTCATGTCGAATAAATTGGCAGTTACATCCGCTTTGAAAGTGCAAGCAAAAAACAGTAACAAAACCAATTAAATTCTAGATCATTCAACAACACAAATATACATGATACTATTTTAACATGAACTATCAACGCCCCCTTGTCACCGGATGAGGAAAATTTTATCCCAACACGTCCCTGCTTCTTTCACTACTTCAGAGACTACCTTTTGAAAATCAAATCAACTACTAGATGCTTTGAACTCATTACAAAACATAAAAGCAACAGCAATGAGATATAATAAATTAAGTGAAACTACTGAAAGATGATATT